GCAGCCGCTGCGGCGGAGGAGCGGGGATGGAGGGCGATCAGACGGAGAGCACGGTGAGCTCGGGGGTGTGGGGGGGCGGGTCGCCTGGTGCTGCGGGGGGGTGTGTAGCGGTGTGTTGGGAGGGGGGTGTGTGTGTGTTGGTGTCGCCCCCGCCCCGTCGCGGGGTAACCCGGCAGCCTCCTCCCTGCCCGGCTGGCACGGAGAGCTTGGGGCGCTGGGGAAGCCCCCCCTCCCCCCCGGGGGGACACGTCCGTGGAAATGGGGTCCGATCCCGCCCGCGGCTCGCAGGAAACCAGGGGGGACGAGCCGAGGGGCCGGGGCCAGCGCGGTGTGGCTGCGGCTCGCCACTTGATGCTTCCTCCTTTTGGCTGGGGGTTTGGCTGGCCCTGGGCTCCCCCCCCCACGCCGGCAGACCCCGGAGCAGCGCAGCCTGCCAGATGGCTGCGGGGTCCCTCAATTACCGAGGAGCCCCCCGGGGGCTGCGTGCTCTTCCACGAAGGCAAGGCGGTTTCAATCCTTCAACGTGAATTTTAAGGCAGGAGAGCCTGTTGTCTGGCCAGCCTGACACTTAATGTCTTTTTTCCCCCCTCTCCCCTCCCTATCTTGAAAAGCGAAGGAGCCCGAGTTGAAGGTGTGGGTTCCTATTGTTAAGAAGTATGGTTGCTTTCTTTCCACTCGGTCCTTGGGTGGAATTAAGACTGCTCCCCTCCTCTCCTCTCTTCCCCTGCAATGCAGACATGACCTAGAGATGAACTGAGTTCGCCTCGTGGGCAGTGGCCGTTTCAGCTGAAACGGACCTTGTTGTCGGCGCTTTCATAAATGGTGTTAATTGAGATTCGTTGGCCGTGTTAGCCAGAGGAGCGCCTCAAGCCAGCTTAAAAGTGTGTGCGAGGATGATTCTGCGGGAGATGGGGTCTGGTGACACAGTGACACACAGCTGTGCGGTGAGGTCCGGCTGGCTCGCCTCCTTCGCCGTGCTTAACACTTGGGTTTTTCTCCCCTCTTTTTGTCATGAAGGTTGCCATTAAGGGTATCGAAAGAGAGCTCATCTGCCCAGCGTGCAAGGAATTATTCACCCATCCGCTGATCCTTCCTTGCCAGCACAATGTCTGTCACAAATGTGTAAAAGAAATACTCTTTGCCTATGAAGACTCTTTTGCTGACGGGGGCTCTGAGTCCTCTAATCAGAGCAGCCCTCGAATTAGAATATCTTCTCCTAGCACGGACAGAATTGACAGGATTAGTAGATCAGGTACGTATCAGAATTTTTGTTTTCCTAATTTTATGTATTAGACTGACTTGAGCTGAATGGTGTCTGCGCTGGTAAAATGTCTTCCCAGTGCTCCTGCCACGGTTAAAGAGATGACTTAAGGATAGTGCAACTCTTGTTCATTCTGTGGCAAGAACAATGGGAATATTTTTAAGGACAATGTACTTTATTTCATATATAATAGATTTGTCTTTGTGGCATCCTGTAAATCTTTGTAACCATTGTGTCTGTTTATGTCTGTATTTCAGTTACATCGAGAGCCAATGGCTTCACGTTCAATAGCGCTGAGAGTTTTCAGCAACTTTAGTGCCTGTCAGCAGCACTGTTGAGGTGGTTCTCTCAGGTTTTGGCCAGCCCTAAATTCCATAGTTTCAACTTCCTTCTGAGCCTCTGCAGACTTTGCAAATGATGGTTTTGTCCTACCCGTGTCATTACGCTCACAATAAATCATTTTCCATAGATGATGCTGGTTGCAGTGATGCAGAACCGGAGGAGGGATGGCTGTGAGAAGGCTGCCCTGGCAGTCTCTGTCGGTGTGGTCTGCTCCAGGGAGCACTCAGCTGTAGGGCTCCTCCTGCTCCTTGTGGTGCCAGAGTAGGATTCTTACAGCTGTCAGTGTAGTCCATGGGATGAGCTGACCTGCTTTAACACAGACACACGGAAAGTACTTTCTGCACGTTGCGCTTCTTGAACCTCTGGGCTCTTTAGGCTTCCTTCTGACAGAATTACCCACTTTAAAACCACAGTGCTCTGGCAGAGTCACCCACGAGACAAACCCTGAAGCTGTATCTTGCATTTCCTATGGTACCTACTGGTTGGTGTGCAGCACTGCTGTAGTCGCTGGCTCCCCTTCCTGCAAGGTTCAGCTGGACTGCTTTGTCCCATCTCTCACGACAGGGCAAAGAAGTTCTACTATTCCTGCCTCCCCCAACCCTGAGATAGCAGCCAGGCAAGTTGCTGCGGGGGTTGTAGTCTTTAAATCCAGGGTAGTCTGCCACCATCCCAGCAAAGTGATGGGAAGCTACTCCTGTTATCTCCTCATCTGATGTGCTAGCAGAGGGAGATGGATGCTTTCCTAAAGACTTCATACCAGTTTGATGAGTTGCAAGATAGCATGGAGGCTCGGAAATAATGGGCTTCCCCCTCTTCGCTCCCCCCCGCCTCCTCCCTCCCAAAGAGCGTTGGGCAGATGCACATCACAGGAAAATTATCCTCTCAGACAGGTCAAATTTGCAAAAATGAAAAGCATATGGAAATGGGAGCTTTAAAGCATTCATTTGGACATTCAGGTTTTACTGTCTTTGCTCCTAATGTTGCCGGCGTAGCTGCTCCCTTGCAGTGTGGGGTGTGAGGTTTGCTCTCAGGCGTTTGGTACCCGTAGTGTTCACCCAGCTTGACGCTTGTGTTCCTAACACTCTCCTCTCACTCACCTGGGGCACTGCCTCGCCTGGTTCCTGTTGTGATCCTTAGGGGAATTTGTAATGAAACAGCCCCACAAGAGAGAAAACGCAAAAAAAACCATTCAAAGTGGGGCCTCACACGTGTAACAAAAAGCCACTAGAATTTCTGGTAGCCTGGCGCAGGGCATGTCACTGTTAAAACATGGGTATATTTCAAAATGTGTATAACACCTTCCTCCTTCTGTGGGTTGCTTTTTCTTTTTCTTTCTTTTTTTCATTTTCTTTCTCTTTTTCTTTCTCTTTTTCTGTCTTTTTCCTTTTCTCTTCTCTTTTTCTCTTCTTTTTCTTTTTCTCTCCTTTTTTTTTCCTCTTTCTCTTTCTCTGTCTTTTCACTTATGGAATCTCTGCTATCTTCATGAGGAGTATCATCTATTTAAAATGATTTTGGCATTTAAATTCTTGAGATGCCAGAAGGAACTGGTCCACATTCTGTACTTGTTGTGCACACACAGCTTGCGTTTACAAATGCAATGTATGTAAAAAAGACAGAACTCTTATTTTTTCATTTGAAATGGAGCGTGTGTGCTTCTTAAAATCTAAGGTGTTCGTTTAAAAAAAAAATTAAAAAAATATGTTGAATATATAAAAAGATAAAAAGGATGAATAAAAGGACATTTCTTATTGCTAATCCATTTTCTGTAATGTTAGTGTAACTGCAATGTTGGTGTAATTAGAGTAAAGGATGTAATGTGGTTATGTTGACAATTGTGCAGCGCTGATGGATGATGCAGAAACTGAATGTCTGAATTATCTCTCCCTGCCCCATCCCCATCCCCCCAATCTCTTCTTTCTCCTTTTTTTTCTGTTCTGCTTAAATACTATAGTTGTTTCATGTGCTAGGAAATTAAACATTCTTGCCTTTCAGCCTCGCAGTAGTTTAACAGCCACAGGAGATAAAACAGTTGATGCTTTTCGTTTGGACCATTGTAAACCAATGGTGTATCATCTCATTTTTTGATTTCTAAACAGCTTTCTGTTCATTGTTCGCAGCCTCACAGAGGAGGTCTTTTGGGTGGAGAGGTAGAAATGCTTCACTTCTTGTATTGGCTAGAGATAGTCTAGCATTTAGATCTCGAGTTAAATATTGTTGGTTAGCATATAGCATTTTGTCAGTGGTCAAGTCCACAAAATGGCTTTTGCAGTGAGCAAAGGTACAGCAAAGGAATTCTATAAGGAAAGCTTTTCATTCTGTTTAACACTGACTTAAAGGTCAACTGGACTGGAATTCAGTTAAGGGTTGGATTATTACTTTTCTTTCTTGTGTATATGGATGACTGACCATATCTTGACGGGTGCAAAAATGCACGTTCTCTCTTCCTTTGAAGCAAAATCCCAACAGTCACCCCCGCACCTCATACTTTTTAATTTTCAAGAGTTTACACACTCAAGTTCCAGTAGAACAGCTGTTTTACGGGTAGTGAAGTGTAATTATTAGGTTGATCTTTGTAACATTGGGAGGTCATGGTTGGCCATCGCTTTAAAATGGAAGGTAATACCCATTGTTCATTGTTTCTGAGCCCACTTAATTTGATAGAGCAGCAGATCGAAATTCACAACATGTTAATCTTAGTAGATAGTTCTGGATCTGGCAATTGAGCACAGCACATGAATATATGAGGAAAACTAAATATTTTGAATTGATACACTTGTAATGTTTGGCATGCTTAGTGACACGGTCAGGTTGGAGGATAGCCAGTGTCTCTTTAAGTACATCTGATTTCAAAACTGGGCTAGTCAGAGCATCTCAGCCACTTGTTAACATAAATACTTTCTTTGATGTGATGGTCTGTCAAAAAAAGTTAAAAAAAACCAACAAGCCCAAAGCTCCATGTTGCCGTAATATTGGCAGGCATGTAAGCAGCCCATAGAAGTGTTGTGTCCTTCAAGATAGACGTGTACTGAGCTGAACACAAATCTGAATTTCACACTTGGCGGAGGACAAAGCAGCCACATCGGAAGGGGAAGTTTAAATGGCCTCAGCTGAGGACTGAAAGGGTCAAAAAACAAAGGTACCCTAGGACACCCTCAGAGTTCTTGGAGAGCTGTCCTTATCTGCTCTTTTTGCAGAAAGCACCCTTGATTTTGGGGAAGTTTAAAGTATCTGGAAATGATATTTTGCAGCTACTGACTTCTCGCATGTTTGGTTTTTTCTTTTCTTTCTCCCTAAAAAAATCCATCCAAATGCATTAACTGAGTTTGGGGGGGTGGCAATATACATTATATTTTAAAAAAACCCAACTCTTATGAGAATCCAGTTGACTTTTAAAATCTTTATTTTTTTAAATTCTCACACATTTAACTTCCATGTCTTCCATAACCATAGAATTCTGGTGATACTGTTTGCTTGGAAAGCACAATTTTATCTTGAAGATGTCTTATCCCTTTGCAAGCCATCAGCTGCAGTTTGAGCTTTTCAACATTTTAAGTGCCAGTACTTCTCCTTGGGAATGAGGACCATTAAACATCTGAAAGCCATACTTAAGATTGCTCTTTGACTTGAGTCTTTGCAATCTGTATCCTAATATTTGGGAGTTTGGAGTCTGAGAATAAGCAGTTGTTGTGCTTATTTTTTAGTTACTGATTGAGTTATTCATTGCAAGTGGAACAGTCCATTTACAAACCACAGTGAAAAATTTATTGTGATGATTCCTGATATTTCACAAAATACATACTTGTTTATTGTAAACCTGATTGGCAAAGTGTGAAAGAGAATATAGGGACGCCTAAGTTTCTGTGAGCCACACATCTAATATTACTACAAAATCCATGGAGTTTGCTGCTCTGTTTTTTTTTGTGGATGGGGTTGTTTGTTTTTTTTTAAAATAAAAGCAGAATTCAGTTTCGGCAAACTGGACACAAGATAGATTGGAAAGATAGTGCTCGAAGTCATTTATCACTGCTTCAGTGCTTTCTTTTTAAAATACAAGTGTAGTCATCCTATAAGCAGAAAGCAGACTAATTCTTACTGCGTGTTAATCTTTTAACATTCACTGGGCAAAAAGAGAGTATTTCCGTACTTTTAAAGTCTTGAAGTGGCAGAGCACGCCAAGAAGCTTTGGAAAGTAAACTTCCAGGGTTTAAAACAGGGGAAAAAAAAAACCAAAAACAGCCAACCTTAGGCTCTTGGAGCGCTGTCTGTGAAAAGGGATGAGACATCTGAAGGTGGGCAGGAGTTCCTTGGTACCAGGTTGCTTTCCGTAAGCAAGGTGTCACCAGACTTTGCAAGAGCATGGCTGGTGGCCACAGTCTGGTTTTGGGTCCACCACGGGCAGAATGAAAGGCCTCCATTGGGATGCAGCTGAGCTCACCTTTGAGTCAAACAAACACCCCGTCCACGTTTGAGCCGCTTGGGCCAGACTTCCAAAGCATGCTACTGGATCCACCGATTTCGGATTGTACTTTTTAAACTTGACCACTGCACCACGTTTTCGTTTTGTTTGGTCTTGTTTTTATCTCGTTATCTTGCTCTGTCATGGCTTGCTCTCTGGTGTAGCACACTGTTTGTAGGCAGTTACTGTACCTATGACGCTGTATCATTCTTTTCTTAGTTTTAGCAAATGTCGAAAGTACTCCAGATCCCTTTCTGTAGCTGCTGACTGCATGGCACTGCATGGGAAATCATCTTTTCGTGGAGGCCATCGTAGAAGTCTTGTGTGGCAGCCCCCTCTGTGTGCAGTGCTGGCTGGGAGCACAGGCTGGAAGTGCAGTTTGCCTTTCACTGCTGTTGATGTGCATTGCATGAGTGTGTTGCCGTGTGTGCCAAGTTACAGGTACTGCAGGATGTGTAGTTTGGGTAGTTAATTCAATTAAAGTAAGTACTGGGAATAAAAAAAAAATATAAAAAAATCTCTGCTTCCCTTAGCCAGAGAGTTCTGGGCTGGTGACACAAGGCACTTGTCCAGTTTTCTTCTCAGAACCTACAGGGAGGCACGAGACTAGCCGAGTTTGGGACTGCCAGCTTACACACACTTATTCACACCCTGATTGTGGCTTCTTAGCTGACAGTCATGCACAGCTATCGTGGGGCACATTCCAAATGTTTTTAAAGGAAGTAGTTCCTTATGGGTTGGTTTGTTTGCCATTTTTTTTAAAAAGAGATTGTAGGTAGGAAGGGAGGTTTTGGATTGTTGGGTGAAGCAGCCACAGGAGAGCAGCACCTTTTGGGTAGCATCAAAGGACACTCAGAAGGAACTGAAGCATCAGCATTTCTGATTGGAAGACACTGACTTAATAAATAGATGAGAACATATTTCCCTTTCTGGAGAAGAACCAGTTTCAGCACAAAGAATTCAGTTTTTTAAGTCAGACGTCCCTTTCCAAATTTGTTAGTTGTACCAACATATAAACCTCTCAAAGGGATTTTGAAGCCACTCTCCAACTACAGAGGATGGTTTTTTGTTTCTTTGTGAGGGGAAGCTGAGAGAAAGCATGTTAAGCCTAAACACTGTCATAAAGGACTCTTTTGGACCGTTCTGCCCTGTGGGTTCATGAGTGAAGTGTGGGGACACACTCCCTGTTGGGGAGCCTCAAAGCATTACCCCATAAATAGCTTTTGGGTCTGTGTGAGCCATCCCCTTGAACAGCCACCATAGGCTTGTGGCTTTACTTGAGCCTTTGGTCACTCTATGTTGTTAGAGGAGGGGAAATTTGTGTGTAGCTCTTGGGTGGGAGTGCAGCTTCTCTGCTGTCCACTTTTGAAAAGAAAAGCAATAGATGTACCCCGTGTAATCGTGCAGATGTGTGGTTCCCTGCTTCGGGGTAGAGGAATGTCCCGGGTATAAGCATCTCAGCATCCTTTCGGTGTGCAGGGCTTCCCCAGCAGCCCGACGTTATCAAGGCCATTCAGCAGGGGCCAAGTCAGCCTCTGCAGATTTTGACTAAGTGATTTGGCTGAGATTTTGTGCTGGTAATACCTAGTTCTCTTGTCTTCCTCTATTTTTTTATGATGACTCTTGGGATGGGCCAGATAAGTTTGACTAAGGCAAAGCAAACTTCAGGGCACTCAAGGTGGCTGTACTTGTCTCAGAATAAGTAGTTTCACTCTGGAAATAAGCATCTTTTGCTTCAATAATGTTAGGAAGCTGTTGCTCTCCGTACGAGTAGCCAGTTAACCTAAATCCAACTGGTTTCTGGGAGGTTTTGTGTTTAGTGTATTGAAAGGCTGCAGCCTGAGTGTGCCCAAATCTAGATGAAGAATATGGGATTGGGACAGCTAAATTCATCTTAACATAGAATTAAGTTTTAGAGTAGTAGTTTGTAGTGTCCCCTGGACTCAGACATTACACGGCCGTGTCGTGGCAAACGTATTCTCTTTGGCTTGGCAGACTGCGTATGAGTCGGTATTGTACTGGTTTGGACGCTGTAGTTTGGAATTGGTTCATAAATTCCCGTGCTTCTCCCTTTAAAATCGAAACATCTTCTGTTTATGCTCCTCCTAAATCAGGATCTGGTATCTACTCGGGCAGAAAGCGCAATTCACTGACTCCTAGATCGAGTCTGTTTCCTTGTCCGGGCTGCCAGCGGGATATCGATCTCGGAGAACGTGGCATCAATGGCCTATTTCGCAACTTCACTTTGGAAACCATCGTGGAAAGATACAGACAGGCAGCCAGGGCAGCCATTGCTATCATGTGCAACTTCTGCAAACCTCCACCTCAGGAGTCCACAAAGAGCTGCATGGACTGCAACGCCAGCTATTGCAATGAGTGCTTCAAAATACACCATCCCTGGGGGACGGTGAAAGCCCAGCACGAATACGGAGGACCAACCACCAACTTCAGACCCAAGGTAAGTATACCTTATCCTGCAGAATTTGGGTCGCAGCATTCACGTATAGCTTCAGACATGTCTGTGCAATGGTGGTTGCTTTTTAGGACCATCGTTGCTTTACTGACTGTTGCTGTTACTCATTAAGTGAACCATAAGATGATGATGTTGTTGATGCTGAAGCGAACTTCCCAACCACACTAAACTGATCTTTACTGTGCTCTTAAAGAGACTTTTCTGGAGGACATTTTGGGCTTCATATAAAGAAAGAAAAGTGCATTTTTGCATTGCACTGCATTGTTAAGACCTGAGCTGAATACATGGAGTATTTGCTGATCTCTTAAACAATGTTCCCAGTCATCGCTTTAATTTACAGCAAGACTGGAGAGCACTTTGTAACGTGTGTGGTGGGGATGGGAGAAGCATATACTGGCCTGATTGTTCTAGAATTTTGAGAGAACTATACAAGGTGATCTGCTGACCTCTTCTGTCTCTAGCTTGCAGGCTGTAATTCTTGCTTGTATGAGCTGAATGAAAATATGTGGTTTCTGTTAGGTGTGACTGTGCACTGCTGTGGAAAAATAACTTCCACAGACTAACAGCATGACTGTGGTTTTTGGAGATGTCTGCCTGCACAGCTAGTTTTCCTGAAAGTTTCCTTTGTCCTTGGGCTTTCTGCCATAGCCGAAGATAACATATGGGGCTTGAGAGCTGTTTTTGGAGATGGTCCGCAGTTTTAGCTTAGAGTGCCCGTATCTATGCTACTTTATCTGCCTTTTAGATCCTTTTATCTGTTGCTTAATCTTGGAGTTGAGCAGCGCTTTTTTCCCCCTCTTGGAGCAGTTACTCCACCGTGCTCAGTTTTCGAAAGATGAGTTCTAGCGAACACCAGCTTTTTCACAACGCTGCTTCAGCTGATGCTGGAATTAGCACTCGGCATGAACAACTTGTAATTGGAGTCAGACAGAAAAAAAAATTGACACTGGAGCCTTTTGTCTTTAAAATGACTGTGACTGGTGGTGGTGGCTGCGTTTCATTTGTTGCTCCAAGAGCAATGCCTGTGTGGCTGATCACAGTCTGGCTTATACTTAAATCACTGCGGTATTATGTCGACTCTTGCTTTAAGGGACAGTTCGTAGCTTTTTCAAGAGATGCTGGTGTGGACACGGTTAAATTGGACAGGGTGGGTTTTGCATTACATTTACATATACAGGGTGCATATGGCGTTTAGAGCTCTGAACAGGAGTGTAGGGAGCTTGAGGCATGCGGGCAACTTGAGGGATTAGCAAAATGGTTGACTGCAGTATGGAGGCTGCGTGGTGTGTGCACAGGCATTGCTACAGGTTTACCCACTGTAAACCTCGTGAAACCGTGTGTTTTCATCTGCATTGACAAATACAGAAGGTGGAAGATAAACTGGAAGTACAAAAATACACTGATGAATCAGGTGCTGCTGCGGGATAACTGGGTGTTTTGTTTGAGCACCTCAGTTTTTGGAAGTTTACCTGCATATTCTCTGCTCTCTTTTTTTTTTTTTCTTTCCAGATTTTGATGTGTCCAGAGCATGAAATGGAGAGGGTAAACATGTACTGTGAAATCTGCAGAAGGCCTGTTTGTCATCTGTGTAAACTGGGCGGATGTCACGCAAACCACAGAGTAACAACCATGAGCACTGCCTATAAAACCCTTAAGGTAAAAAAGTAAATATTGTTGGGCCTGGCCTGTGGAAGGGGAAGAGCGCTGAGCTTCTGGGGTAAGGGCAAACTCCCTGTGGCAGGAAGCCAGGACGTGTGTTCAGAGGACACTGCACCAGTCATGAGGCATGCTGTTGCGCAACGTCTGTTAATGTATATATTACTGTGGCATAGCGCGCCTCTGAGAAGCCAAACTATATTTTCTGTGAGGCCCTTACAAGTGCTTTCCCCTTATTTTAGCCATCTTTACAGCAGTACCAACCAACACAGAAGATTGAAGCAGTTAACAGTTTACAGTCTGGCTGGTTTTTTTTGAGATGAGCATCCTCAGGGTTTGGGGTTAGCTGTGCTTTACGAGCTCTCCCAGAGAACCTGCATCTGAGGACCTTGCATGCTTCTGAAGTTGCAGAGCTGTTGGTTCCCTCAGCGCCGTGCAACAGGGCAGACTTGCAAACGTTGCTTTGTTGATAAAGAGTGATTGCTGCTGCCTCCTCTTCTTCCTTTTCTTCCTCTGTTGACCAGCCCAGCCTACCTTGTGCTCTTTGCCTTCTCGCCTGTTTGCAAGGCTTTTCCTGTGCAGCTGTTAACTCTTGCAGCTGAGGAAGTGCAGAGCTACTCACAAGTTCGTGTTTCAAACCTCTCGTTTCTCTAGCGAGTCTTACTACAAATGGGTTAATAACTTAACAAGGCTTTTCTGCTAAGTTTTAGTAACTTCTTGCAGCCTCCTGCTCGCAGCCTGAGAGAGAAGGGGACTGCTGTGGCTGGGGAAGAGTGAGCCAGCTGAGGCTGTCAGCTCTTCTCCTCAAAGGCTGTGCTCCAGAACTGCTCACAGCAGTGGCCTGATGTCCCTGGCCAGTTGCCGCGGGTCACTGAGCAATCCTCCGTGAGGTTGCTGCTCCTGACTGGTGGCAGGCTCTTGTCCCTGTAGGGCTGGCTTGTCCCTGCTGTAGCGGGATGTCCTGCCTGTGCTGGTTGTGGGTTCAGGTGGTACGCCCTTCTTCTGCCTGTCAGCTTGCTGTTCTTTCTTAACAGGAGAAGCTTTCGAAAGACATTGACTACCTCATCAGTAAGGAGAGCCAGGTGAAAGCCCACATCACACAGCTGGACCTGCTGATGAAGGAAACAGAGGTACGAGTGGCTGGTGGGTTGTTTGGGGATGGCCCTTCCAGGGACACAGTCGAACTGTTTTCAGTGAAGTGTTCCAGATCCTTTGGGGTATTTTTCAGTTAGCCAGCAACACCATTTCTGAAGAGTTTGTGTTAGTCCTGGGTCACAGATGGAAAGACCTAATCCCGTCAGTGTGGAAAATTTGGGCAACATACAGGGGGAAGTTAAGTTTTGGGTGCTGCTGTGAATTTAGTTGACATAAAGCTTATTTGATACCTTAACCAAAGAGAGGGGAGTAAGTCTTACAGGTCTTGTGTATTAAGAGTGCTGCACAATTTGCGCTCTCACTTTACCTTGAGGACATTGCAGCAGTGTCAGAATTAAGGGCAAAAATCTCCCCGCAGAAGGGTCAAGAGCTGGGACCTCACATACAAGCTGAAAAACGCGATGGCAGAAGCTGCAGGAGCTCCTGATGCAGACTTGTATCTCGTGATACAGAGGGTCTCCATGCTTTGTGGCTCCTTTTACCCAGGGCACTAGTCAGAGGTGGCACTACAGTTCTGAGGGCGTATGTGAGAAGCTGGGCTGGACCCCCCGTTCAGGGTGATTGAGGAAGGTGGAAAAGCATGTAGCTCTTGGGCATGAAGACTTCAGAGACCGATCTGCTTTTACAGTGCTTTCCCATGAGCTGTGTAGACAAACGCTGTGCATAACTCAAGAGATAATCAGAGGAACACTGTCCTGCTCTTCGTTCTCTGGGTTAAGACAGTAAATGCTTACTAGCTTGGGTGCAGTGCTGATCACCGTTTCAGTGCTGAAGAGTGTAGCAAAGCTCATTAGTCTTGTCTGTCAAATGGATGGCTAGGTTGCTCTGATATCTTGAACAACCCTAAGTATGTTTCCGTACACAGCCACAGTGCTGTGGAATCTGACTAAAATGCCATTTGTTCCTTCCTAGTGCAACAGTGAAAGAGCTAAAGAAGCAGCATCTCAGAGTTTTGAGAAATTGTATCATGTACTGGAAGAGAAGAAATCTGCAGCTCTTAGGGTGATTGAAGCTTCTAAGAATTTAAGGCTGGAAAAATTGCAAACACAAGCCGAAGAATATCAAGGGCTCCTGGAAAATAATGGCCTTGTGGGATACGCTCAAGAAGTGCTTAAAGAAACTGACCCATCTTGTTTTGTTCAAACGGCAAAACAACTTCATGTCAGGTATCATAATTGTCCTCTGTTTGAGGTACAGGTACTGTTCCAGGATGTCTGGTCAGTCATGCTCTTAAGAGAGCTGCTAGCAAAGTGCTAAATGCAGTACCTTGTATCGCAGAGGCTCAGGGACAGTCCCAGTAGCATTCAGTGTAAATTACTGTATTAAGAGTGTGAGTTAAGAAACGGCACACAGGAGGGTCTCTGTCCTACAGCAGCTCTGTCCTGCCTTGTTCAGTAGGATTTTAGTGGAGGGGTAGCCCATTGGGCTCACTGACACATTCCTTTCCTCAGAGGTTGTATGGAGCGTTTACAAGTTAATCTAACAGGTCTCTTTTGGCTTTAAACTCTTTGTTCTTAATAGTTGTTCTCCATTAGTGCTTCCCACCTATTTTGTTCTTTGAACATAATGCCCCAAATTGAGCGATTACCTGTTTGTTATCTTTACACTGATGTACAAAAGTTTTAGTTTTGCATTTGAATTCTGTCTAGAGAGACAGAAGTTTCTGGGGGACATCAGTAAGTACATGAAAACAGAACTTTTTTTTAAAGCAAAACCTAGCATTTTTGCTTTCAGGAATGCACACGTGAATACCCTTTGCTCTCTTCTGCCATCCTTCTGCTTCTGTGCTTTCAGAATCCAAAAGGCTACTGAATCGCTGAAGAGCTTCAGGCCGGCAGCTGAAACTACTTTTGAAGACTTTGTGGTGGACATAGCCAAGCAAGAAGAGATCCTTGGTGACTTGTCCTTCTATTCCAACGGTAAATTGCGAGAGTTTCAGGTCTTTTTTGAGTTATGGCTATACGGGCTTGTCTGGGAAGAGGCATAACTTATGCAGGGCTGCAGCTGCAGAACTCAGTCTTGTGACTTTCATTGTCCCTTCTGCTTCTGTGATCCACAAGGCATTACATGGCAGCAGTGCTAGCTTCAGCTTTGGTAAAGAAGTGAAAATGCTATTGCATTCGGTACCACTTTACATTGGCTCCCAAAATATTGTAGTTAAGTAATACTAGATCTTTCTATAAGCGTTTTGTTGCATGACAGAAAAGAGCAGGGTTTTATATGGTTTTTTAGCTGCCAGCAAATATAAATTATACAACTTTCAAAGAAAAAGCCGAAAGTAAGGGATTGATTTTAGGTGCATGAACAGAACCATGCTCATCCGCACCCTTTGACTGAGTGAGTCAGATATACCCCCATATCCCCCCCCAGTGCTATAGCCACTCACCAAAGGGCTTGTATGGTTAATTCTAAATCAACATGTATCTAAATTTGAGGCTTCTTTTTCTCCTGAATCTCTGGCATTCCACGTCTAGAAATACCAGAAATCAATGAAGTGCAGAGCAAAATTTACAACAAAGCTGTGATCAGTTGGGAGTGCCCTGGGAAGGCAGATTCAGCTGATACCTATATTCTCGAGTATCTGAAGCTTAACGGAGAAGAGGAGAGCGTAATGCGGAAGGAGATCAAAGTTTGCAGCAAGAGCAAAATAGTGTCTGATCTTGATGATGACAGCAGGTATGCCTTCAGAGTTCGAGGATGTAAAGGGTCCATCTGTGGCCCTTGGAGCCGAGAAGTTGTTTTGCGTACGCCTCCAGCTCCAGGTATGGTTTTTTTTCTTAATGTCCACAAGCTGCTGACGTGGTGTTAAGAGCCATAGGTGGTTTCTGGGAGCTCCCAGACTTCTACTAGGCTGTTACTGGTTGCATAAATGTTTAGAAGCACTGTTAACAAACAGGTTGAGTAGGTAGCATACTGAGACACTGTTAGTTTGCGCGATGTTCCTGGTAGCCTTTAAAAGTGAGCAGTTCTAATGCCAGTTGACTTAAAATGTAGTTTATAAGCACAGAAGTCCAAATACTTAACTAAGAGGAATTTTTTTGGGCATACTGTTTTTCAGTTTTCAGTTTTCTTTTTGATGACAAATGTGGGTACAACAGTGAACATCTCCTGCTGAACCCAGAAAGAACCTCTGTGGAAAGTATGGCTGGATTTCCTCTGCTGCTGGGGTCTGAGCGCATGCAGGTCGGATGCTACACAACCCTGGATTACATCATTGGTGACACTGGGATTGCCAAAGGAAAGCACTTCTGGGCTTTTCGTGTGGAAGCCTATTCATACCTGGTGAAAGTGGGAGTTGTTTCTAGCAACAAGATACAGAAGTTGTTCCATAATACCCATGATGTGACCAGCCCAAGGTAAACCGCAGACTCTTGCTTAACATGTGTTTTATATAAGGAGATGGCTTTTTAAAAAAATAAATTAGGAGCAAGTTTGGTCTTGATGAGTACACAAGGTGAACCAAACCAGTAAAAAGTGGCTTGAAGGATATAGCATAGGCAGATTGTCCTGTTGATCCCCTACTATTAGTAGAATGATGTTCTAATTATCCAGAGTCCTATTTTCTTTCTTTTTGGGAAATAAATCAGGTTCATGTAGATACCAAGACATGTCACTTAAAGCAAGAAGGTTAAAAAAAAAGAAAAAAGTCAATAGCAAGATTGGAGCAATGCTTAATTGCCAGTAGTAAGGCTCTGCCTAAATTCCCTTAGCATATTCAGAGGTACAATGTTCACTGTGCTTATCTGGGTATCTTTGCTGTAGCTCGCATCAGGGTGGATTCCAAGTCACTGGCTTATCCCAGGTTATACATTTGCATACGGTACTGAAGTACAAGCTACTGAGTACAAGCCGAAGTACAGTGGACAAACCAGCAAAAAGATTACCAGCTCTCAGTTACAGTGGTAGTCAGCCTGGATGTGTCTAGGAACTGCAGGCTGGGAGGATGTCTCCTAGGGGCTCTTAATTTATTCACAAATCTAACAAATGTGTTGGCTGTATAACATTCTGAAAGTGCAAAAATGCCAGTGTCTTGAGCTTCTGAAAGTCAGATGGAGCCTTTTTGAAAAGTGAGAAATTAGATCCTGATTCCCTGATTTCTTTATTAACCACATGAATATCTGGAAGACTTTAGCTGACACACATCCAGCCTCCCCCCAGACACCTCAAAAAACACAAACCTAGCTAGGGATTGATGGCACAGAAGAATATGTGTTTCTCCAGTCTGTCTTCATTTGGGGATGGAAGCAGAGGGAAAAGCATGTAGACTGAAAAAAGTTGGCTACAAACTTTCCCTAGTAACCAGCTGGGAAATGGGTTCAAGGAAGCCTCTAGGCAGAGGACTTTAAAAAAAAAAAAAAAAACAACACCAAAACAAACCCCAAAACCTAAGACACTACTTTTTGTGTTATGAATGTTAAAGACCATGTAATACAGCAGCATCATGGAAAACTCATAGGACCACAGTAATGTTAAATGTATTTACTGGTGTCCTGTTTAGTCATGATTAGTCATATTCGCTAAATTACTTCTCGAGTTAAGTAATTTACTATACTGTAGGTTCATTACTGATTGCCCATCATGAGTACATTTAGGTATATCTGCTCCTTGGTAAAGCTTCCGTGGTCTTGTCCTCATTTGTGTTTAGCAGTTATTAATTGTTTGAAGTGGCCCAAGTGAGTGTCTCCACCTACCAAGTCCATCTTCGCTCCTGGCTTAGGTATATTTTTACCCCACAAGGTTTTGCGGGTGACGGTGGTGTTAGCTACCTTACGAAAATGTTTTATTTGGTTCACATCACTGATTCCACTTCAGAATCCGACAAAAGCAAATGGTTGTTTTTTCTATTCCAGGTATGAGCAAGACAGCGGTCACGACAGTGGGAGCGAAGATGCCTTCTTTGACTCATCACAGCCTTTCACACTGGTCACTTTAGGCATGAAGAAGTTCTTTATCCCCACAACACCTGCTGCCCCCAAAGATCCAGCGAGCAGAATCCTTCCCTTGCCGGCGTGCTTGGGCATCTGCCTTGACTGTGACCACGGCAAGCTGGGGTTTTACGACGCGGGCTGTATGAGATGCCTTTATGAGTGTGAGGTGGATTGCTCTGGCATAATGTACCCAGCGTTTGCCTTAATGGGTGGCGCGGCAGTTCATCTTGAGGAAGCCATCACAGCAACGTACGGCGAGTACGACGACGACGTCTAGTGCATGCATCCCTTCCCGTTGCTGCTCTGAGGTGGAAAATAAGAGCAGAAAAATTCTACTTTAGTCTCCAGTCCTGATTATTTACATTATATTTATGTGTTGCTCACAACCGTCCAGGTCATACTTTTTTATAAACAGATGGTGGAGACACTTCCCACACCAGTGGGAAATGTTCTTCCAGAAACTCTCCTGCCTTTCTTGTGATCTGTGCAATGCTGTTCTCCACAGACTTTCTTCCCAGGGGGAAGCAAGGAAGATGTTTGACTAGCAACCAAAATTACTCTTCAGGGGTAGAAATCTGCCTTTTATGTAACTTAAATCCTTACATCGTCAGTTTTGCATTTAATGCAGTCAAAGCTGACAGTGTGTGATCACCCTTCTCCTTTCAAGAAATCTGTGTGACCGCCCCTGGGGGGTCAAATGCTTTCCAGTTAACCCCTGAGCTAAGGGGTTGGGCCTTTCAGCGTAAAGTAACACTTGCAAAAATGCAACAAAAAGCAGGGAGAAATCAGAACTATAGCTGAACATTTAGGTGGCTGTCCTGGTTTGAAGTAAAACAGAACCAAACTACAAGGGTCGTATTTAGAATGAGGAGCGTAAACTAGAGTCTGATTGCATGTCATGTACCTTTAATGTGACTGTAAGCTAAAGCTAATTCTGACACCTGATATCATATAGTTGGTGGCATAATGACAAGTTTCTTTACTCTTCCAGGCTTTTATTATAGGCTATATAAAAATATATAAAGTGCAATTCTACCTTAAACATCAGACTTTAGAGTGCAAAATGAGAAGTGTTTGCATGCGTGAGTAATAGTACCTGGTATTTAGGCAAAAGCAAATGAGTTATTGACATGAGTAATAATATGTGAACTCTGAGAAAATCAGGTATTTCTTTTAATACTTATTTCTATAAGTTAATTTTTTGATGTAGTAGCAGCTTGTTTTTTTTAGTAAGAATCTTAAAAATGCACTGATTGAGTTTTGAGACCCAATTTCTGCCTTAAAGGACGTGTCCCTCAAATTTCTGTTCCTCTCGTGTTAAAAACTGTATCACATAGTAGTTTTTCATAGAATCATAGAACCATAGAGTGGTTTGGGTTGGAAGCTACCTTTAAAGATTGTCTGGTTCCCCTGCCCTGCCATGGGCAGAGACACCTTTCACTAGACCAGGTTGCTCAAAGCTATGTCCAACCTGACCTTGAACACTTCCAGGCGTGGGGCATCCACAGCTTCTCTGGGCAGCCTGTTCTAGGGTTTCACCATCCTCATCGATAGAAATTTCTTCCTTAGATCTAATCTAAACCTGCCCTTTTTCAGTTTAAAACTTGCCCCTTGTCCTATTTCTGCAGGCCTTTGTAAATGTTTGTCTCTGTCTATCTTACGATTCCCCTTTGTGTATTGAAAGGCCGCAATTAAGTCTCCCCAGAGCCTCTCTTCTCCAGGCTGAGCAATCCCAATTCTCTCAACCTTTCTTCACAGGAGAGGTGTTCCAGCTCTCTGACCGTTTCTGAGGCCCTCCTCAGAAGGGCTCTGAACTCGTGGCACCAGAGCTGGATGCAATACAGACCATGTCGGGTCTTGGAAGAGCAGAGTGGGAGAATCACCTCCCCTGCCCTTCGGCCCACCCAGCAGCCCAGGGTACAATTGGCTTTCTGGGCTGCAAGTGCACATTGCTGGTTCATGTCCAATTTTTCATCCACCAGGATCGCCAAGTCCATCTCTGTAGGGATGCTCTCCATCTCCCAGTCTGTACTGATATTGGAAACTGCCCAGACCCAAGTGCAGGACCTTGTGTTTGGCCTTGGCGAACCTCATGAGGTTCATGTGGGCCCACTCCTCAAGCTTGTCGAGATCCCGCTGCGTGGCATCCCTTCCCATTAGCAAATGAACTGCTCAGCTTGGTGTCATCTACAAACTTGCTGAGGGTGCACTCAATCCCACTGTCCTATGTTAATGAAGAAACTAAGTAATATCGGTGCCAGTACAGACCATTGAGGGACATCACTTGTTACTGGTTTCCATTTGGACATTGAACTGTTGACTGTAAGACACTCTTTGGACATGGCCATCCAGCCAGTTCCTTATCCATTGAATTGTCCATCTGTCAACCCCAAATCTCTTGAATTTAGAGGCACGAATGTTGTGGGGGATTGTATCTAAGGCCTTACAGAAGTCCAGGTATGTGACATCCGTAGCTCTTCCTTTGTCCACTGGTGCAGTCACTCCATCACAGAAGGCCACTAGATGAGTCGGGCATGGTTTGTCCTTGGTGTATGTGTGTTGGCTGACTGCAGTCACCTCCCTGTCTTCCATATGTTGTGATGTATCTTCCAGGAGGATCTGTTCCATGATCTTACTGGGTACAGAGGTGGAATGCATCTGTTCATAGAAGTCTATGTGAAAAAACATTTGGGTACTTGCCCTGTTACCTTGTGTTGTGGAAAAATAAGGATCTAAAGTGAAGGATGTTTCTAATACGTACTTGGTGCTTTCTAATTTGGGGATATGCTTTCTAATTTGGGGATAGTGTTGTATCTTGATGAATGTGTGTGAAGTATGCTTACTAAGTATATGTATACAGCTGTAGAGCTATGAAATGGGACCTGAAATCACAATACACTTTAATGAATGTAGGTCACAATGCAAAACCTTTGTGTGCTTTGCTGTCTGAACTGTTGTACTGATCTGACCTGGAGTCCAGCCCTCCCAGTGTCCTCTCTCCTAAGCCTCTCTCTTCTGGTAGCAACTGTCAGGAGGAACTGAAAATAACATCTGGGCCAAGGTGAGTATGACAGCCCTTTCAGGGCTAGAAAGTCCCAGCAAGAGCAACTTCTTGTCAGGGTTTCACCCGCAAGTGTTTCTGCCTTGGTAAGAAAGGAAAAACTTCGTTGTGTGCTTGTTGGAGAAACACTTTGGTGTCCCAGGCAGTAGCTGTGAGGCATTTGGTATCTTCTGGAACTTTATCCTGCAGGAGAAATGGCCAGTTGTCCCTCGCTAGTTATCCGTCCTCTAGGTCATTTCTTTTCGTAACAGGTGGTTATCACAGCCTTTCTTTCTCATTGTTCCCCCATCCCTTCATGGTTCCTCTCGCTGGATGGAGGCCATTCTGTACTGGTGAGCATCCTGCTGCATCTCCTTCTCCTCCCACCTTCTGAGGCTAACTGAAGGAGCCCTCCATACAGACACTCTGTTGCTGTGAAGGGTGACAAAATTCTGGGTTTTCCTTGTTTCCATAGTCCTAGAACCGTATTTGCCTTTTTGGTCAATACCGAATATTAAGCTGACGTTTGAATAGTTCTTACACAGTGTTTTCCACATGATCCTGATGGTTAGCTGTAAACAAGCTGTGCACGTACAGGGTTTCCCCACCTTGTGTGTTATTTTGCATTTGCTAATCCTGAGTTACATCTGCTCTTTTATGTGGTCACTTAGTCCTGAGGATCTCCTGCAGCTCTTCAGTTACTTCTGGACTTGAATGTTTCCCAGTAGCTTCAGAGGTAACACAAACACGGTCATTTCTTTGCTTGCTTGTTTTTCCAGATCTTGGAGCGACTTAGGTTGTTGTGAGATGCAGCAAACCTCTTTCTGCCATTAAAATTTACTGTTCTTCCACTTCCCCCTCCCCCCAAGTCATTTATTAAACCATGATTAGCTAGTGAAGCACTGAAATCTTTTACATGTTAGTACACTCTATTGAGTAGATGACTCAAGTCACTGTGTGCATGAGCCCAATAGTCAGATGGACTCAGGAGACAGGATTCTGTCTTCAGAAGCTGTGACTTCTCCCATTGTATAATCACCGTTTGTCCATTCATCCACCAAACCTAGTATGGGCTTAAAGCTATAGAATGTACCGTTGAACTTTCTGGTTTGTTGTTCCCAGACCAGATCTCCTTCCACAGGTGAATTTGTCACTTTTGGTTCCTCTGTTTCAGAAACTGGTTTAAATTGGAGGTTTTATGTCACAGTTAGCACTACATAGTTCCACATCTGGATTATTTATAAGCATCTGGACTGATACCACCAGGCTATGGCCTTTCATCACTTTGTGGAAATAGTAATAAATTGAACATTCAGTCTTAGATATGAAGACATTCTCTCATTTATTAAAAAAAATAAATTTATTGGTTTGACAATATAGAAGTAAGAAATAAAAAATTTAGGTTTTTTCTACTATAGCTTTATTTACATTCATTTAAGATGTGCTCTGCTATGCAATTACTTGTTCTACTGGACAGAGACTGACACTACTTTAAACATTTATCTACTTTTTGATATGTCTGTTTCTATTTGTCTCATTTGGAGTTTAAAAATTGATTTGGCTTTTTGGCGTTACTTGAATACTAAGGATGCATCCATCACAGTACTCTATGGTGCTTACTCCAGCTTATTAAATTAAAAAACCACACTGTCAGAGGCACTGACAACACACTGTCATATTTTTTCCACTAGAAGAGAAGTGTCACCTTTCAGAAACACAGTTCAGCAGTACTTGCCTATCCAGATACTTACTTTTCCAGAACAAGTTTCTTCCTATGAAACAGCACTTTACAATGTAGACTAAGCTAAGAATGGTGTGGTATTGTGTGGATCTTTGTGCAATATAGCTGTTTGGTGACTACTGTGTGATTTGCAAAGCTCCATGCAGGTGTGAATCATGTAGACACTTTTTAGATATCTAAAGCTTTAACAAAAAGGCCTTGTTTAAAAACATTCTGATATGTAAATGTGTTGTCTTTTTCTTTTTAATAAAAACTGAAAATATAGTAGCTTGGTCATTCACATTATTGCATCCCAGGTCCGAAGTACCCCAGTTGAAATACTATTTCTTACAGTAGATGACAACAGGTGACTTGCAGGGGGAAAGCACTGCTTTTGGTTTTCAAGTCTGCCCATATACCAGTGCCTCCAATTTGAGGAGGACTAAAGGGTCTCGTTTGGACTAACAGCGACATCAATCTTTTGCTTAAGATGCTGGTATTCGGAATGTGGCTGCCTGAGGCTCCCTCTCCAGGCTGGGAAATGCGTGTCCAGAAGGAGATTTGGCTCTTGGGCCTACCTGTTCCTCAGGGGAGGGAGCAGATGCTCCTTAGCATTCCAGCCTGGGCAGCCCAGCCAAGAGGCCTGCCATGCTTTGCAATTCCAAAAACTGGTGCCACTGCTTAGATCTGCAGCTCTTTGAAAATTCAGTGTTTGTGCTGTTCAACGGTATAAATGACAGGTTTGTCTACTGCTTGAAGCTGAGTAAAACTGACCGTGGAGGGGACAGAAGGGTGGCTGAAGAAGCACATGAGAAGGGGCTCGGACTGAAGAGTATTCTCGGTGCCACATCAGCAAATGAATGCAGAGCTGAGGGACACTTCCTGAGATGCTTGCCATCAGGGGCAGAGTGGGGTGGTGCGGGGACTTTGGCTCAGCTCCTGCTCAGTAAAAACTTTCTGAAATGTTAGTCTGAGGTTCAGAAAAACGAATTGTGAGAGAGAGAACTTCAGTTTGCGCCGAGTCTCAAATTAGAAAGAAGCGGCTTTGACTTGGCCTGAAGGATATTTCTAGCTCCTTGGCAAAATAATAAGGCTTTTTGTGTGTTTATTGCCCAACTACAAACATTGCACTGGGCAAATCCAACTTAGCATGAAAGGATCCATTTGTTTTAGCTAGCCTGCCTGATTTGACAGGCTTAGTCCTTGTTCTTAACCCTTATATTCCCCCTGCCTCCTGTCTCCTGTAAGACATTGGTAAGGGAGAAATAGAAGGCTCAAACACCATCCAAAAATATCTCTGTCAAAAACTCATCTTTTCATGCCTGTTTATTAAATTCTGCCTCTCTTTTGCTCCATCACACCCATATCAGCTCAGCTTTGGTGCAGTGACTGGATTTCCTGCTCTTTTCAGCAGCAGCATCCTCACTTTCTCCACGCGCTGCAACTGATGTGGGAAGAAGGCACAAAAATACAGAGCTATCCTTAAACCTATCAGAAGGAGATGGAGAGAACATGTCCTGGGTAGACAGAAAACTTTCACCTTGGTGGAAAAAAAACAACCAAGTTTCAGAGGAGAGGAAAAATGACTATTTTCTTCTACGGAGTCTGTAAGTGACCATTCTACATGGGTTCCCTCCAGTGCTGCTAAATGTGTACAACACGCAGCACAACTTGGCACAGTGTCCAGAAATAACTGTTTCTGGGGTTGGTAACCCACTGTGACCTGGTAGACTAAACCAGGGAAGTTCAGTGCAATCTTCTCAGTTTCTTCTGATATGGCATAATATGCCAAAGACTGTTTCTGCCTGAGTTTCAGTAAAAAGATGGTATTTGGCCTCTGTGTCAGTTGATGTAAAGGATGTCCATCTCCAACAGAAGAACTTGTCTGAATATCTATCCATCCTTCCTTAAAAAGAGAATTGCCTAACTTTTACAAGTAGAACTTATATTAATGCAGTTTAAATGAGTCTTCATACATAATTATATAGCATGCCACAAAACCACCACAACTTAACCAGTGGAATGAAAAATTTTCCTTTCAGAAATAATCTCATAAATACTCCTTCAAAGCCAAGTTAAGTGACGACTAGAGATTAAAAATTAAGAATTCACCTGGGACTTCATTTCAGAAGAGAATTGCAGTGATGTGAACTACCCACTTGGCTATGGAAAACAAGCAGCACTTCCATTTCATTCATCACTGAACCTACCTATGTATAGATACGTGGGTATATGCGTTTATATTTTTGCATAAGTGCATGTCTCTTTTTTCTGGAAAGTCTCTTGACTACTCATGAAATTGAAAGGATGGTCAGAAAACACCTAGACTCGTTCAAATAATGCCTACAGGTGCTCTTAGGACCATTTTATTCAGGATTTTGCACACAGCTAGGCCAAGTGTGCTCACTGCGTCTGGGTGACAGAGGACGGTCCTTTCCTGTGCCCCTGGGGGGGTACGGGGTGAAGGGACTGTTTACTGTGAGGCAAGGAACCTGGGTTGGTGCTGGTGGTGCAACTCCTCTACACGTGAACACTGAGCCAGAAGAAGAAGTGAAGGTGTGACTTTGCATCCCAGTGGAGCCGACAGGATGATTTTTCCCCAGCTTTTCTTCACTGAACCTGGAGACCCTGCAGATGCTTGTCCCTGCTGTTTCTTGGGACTGAAAAGAAGACTCTGGAGCTGGGAATGATGGTGGGGGTACCTTTCAAGCCTGATTCCTGCGTCTCTGCCCCGGCAGTAGTACTCCGTGGCCATGTCCACAGCATGCCCATGTGGGATCTGGACCTCACAGAATCTGGACCTCCCGGGATCTGCCTGTGGTGAAGAAGCCTTCTCCACTGACCACCTGGGAGTTAACTGCAAAGGAAGCTGGTTTTACACTGTCATTCCAGACTTTGCCTGAATTCATCTTCCCATATTTAGAAGATGGTATGTATCAGGGTATTTATGCAGATGTGAATTCATTCATGCTGGATTTATTAAAACTCTTTTCATGCCTCACGGGGGAACAGGCAAACCCTTGCACAAAGTAAATCTAGCTCAGAATGTTAGTTGATTTCTTTTTTTTTTTTTAAGTGACAATAGGCTCCACTTTAGAGAACTATTGAGACAGAAAAATAAGGATCAAGAAGGATAAAACCGGCATTGTTATGAGGAAAAAAAGCATGTATAGTACCAGGTTTGTACTATTTTAATTTTATTTCATGGCACTTTATTTTCATGCCACTAGCGAAAAAAGGATGTAATGGTAAGATTCCTCTCTGCAAATCTTACTTCTTCTCTGAATACCTTAATTCACTTGGTAATTCACAGACTTTTGTTTGTTTGACTTCATGCAGCTGGTATTTTGTCAGGCTCCATGGAGGCAGGCTGGCATCACCACAGCACCCAGACTGGTGCATTACTGCTGTAACCAACGGGCAGTAACATACGGCGTGCAGATCTGCAGTGTAAATGCACTCAGGAAGCTTTAATCATGAGTGTATCTTCCAGCACCCCTTTCTCACTTGCTGTGAGAGCAGCCAGTACAACAGGACATACAGGCTTTGGGGGGGGGACCTTTTATCAGGACGCTGCCTTTGTTTTATGTTGGGTCCCAGGTGCTGGTTTTGGAGCTGAGTAAGCAGAGCGAGTGTGGGTAGGTTTCACTTTCATTGACTTCCTAGTGTGTCCCCTTTTATTTAGCTTTTTTTCTTCTCCTCGGGTTCTCCTGTTTAGCTAGGTCCTGGATTTGTAGGGTTAATGCGAAGCAGAAGGTTTTTTTAAGAGAAGCAATGCAAAGACCATGCCCTTGCAGGCCACATAATAATTTGTAAAATTATATATGTTAAGGATAAAATACTAATATTCACTTGTTTAAAGTATTGACATATTGCCTGTTTTAGTATTTTATTATTTGCAATTGTTTAAAAAAAAAAAGACTTAAACTTAGTTTATGAGCTTGATTTTTTTTTAACTTTAAAGAAGACCTATTTTAAAAAGTGCAGGCTGTATTGTTTTAAGAAATACTAATTTCTTAATTGTGATTTTGTGCTTTCTGGACCAGCCATTAACTGTGCCCCTGTTCTTTTCAAAGAGAGGGCAACAGCAACCAGCATTAGCACGAACCCTGAGCTCAAGCTGCTGCTGCAGGGTTGTGTCTTCTCTCGACTCAACCCCTAGTCACCTTTGGGGACATTTTTCCTCACAGGACCTCTGGCTCCAGGTTCATCCCAATATGGCCAGTTATATGTCTTGATGAGACGGGAACATGTAGCAGAGCAGCAAGGAAGAAACGTTCAAATATTTTTAATACCACATATTGGCTGGTATGTAGAAACTAAAATATTTAGGAGAGATGGGCTCTGTGGTTTCACAGCAGCCATTCTCAGTATTTCCTGGGAGACAGGCTAAGCCTGCTTTGTTCAGCTCATGTATAGTCACTGTGTGCTTTGCTTTCTACAACCTGCAGTCTCACAAATACCCATTTACTTCTCAAGGCAGAGGCGCAAGATGTAAGATTGCATGAAGTGCTCTTTGACATGAGACCAACCCATACTTTAATGTATCTTCCAATGGGGGAGTAGCATTGGGCTGTCCTCCACAGAACGTATGCATAAGGGCTGGCTGCTTTGAAGTAAATCTGGGAAATGGTTCCTCTCCTTTGAAATGCAAACCTGATGGCAAGCCACTGCTCCAGTGGCTGCCATTCCCTTTGATATGGCACATAGGATGCAAATGAATGCTAGACAGTGACAATCAAAAGGCTTTGAGGAGCAAAGGACCAGAGAAAACATATTCTTATTTTCCACAGCTGTTATGCTAAGCAATGCTCCAGCCTGTTGAAATAGAATTCAACAAGTTATTCTGCAGGGACTAGCTTGTTGAAAATTAAGTTAAAAGCTTGCACCTCCCCAGTGAGACTCAGTGGAGGATTGTACTGTGTTTCACTGTTGAGACCACTGCTGCTCACATTTGCAATGTGTTTGTAATGAGAAATTTAGGTTTGGCTTTTCCAACTCCTACGCAGGTTGTTAATAAATCTGCTGGAAGTTCTTTAGTCATTAGGATAAATGGTGATGTAAGAAGAACTTTCTTTATCAATATGGTAGAGATTTCTTAGTCACTGGTTGACATTTGTTCCTGCTGTGGATTTAGCAAAAGGTGAATTTCTTACACTTGGTTATTTCTTTTTAAAGTGATACAAAACTTTTTTTTTTTTTTTTTTTTTTTCCCCTGTGGTTCCATCATTTGCTGAGGATACCAAAAGGAAAAGCAGGTTCTACTGAGGGGAAAAAAAAAGAAAGGA